ACAGAAATTTCAAAATAATTATTACAATTTGAAACATTGGACTAGTTAGTATGGAAAAGAATGTGAGCGGACATGGCTATACAGAGGGAAGGGTTGCAAGTGAAATATGTAGAACGGAGGAGATTATCAAGTGTCAAGTCTTCTAATTTCAAACTTTTGTCCCTTGGGCTAAATATGAAACAAAAGACCTTTAAAAATTAAAATCACAACTTTAAACATTATAAAAACAAAGCAAAAATATACACTAAGTAAAAACATGTATAATTAAACACTAGAACCATGGAAGAAAAAAATAGAACCAAAAACAATCATACAATATCTGCTTAAAACGCCCAGCCTATGTTTAAAGAAAATCTGATTAAAACTTTGCTCTTTTAAGAGTGTTTAAAATATCAGGAAAGCAAAACCTTTTTGAAGCATAAATTGAGAAAATTAAACAAATGCTTACAATGAATTGTTTTTTTGCTGTCGTTTTTAAATAGAATAATCTATATAAAACCGAAAATCTAAATACCCCACCTCTTGTTATGTTAGATGTCCTGAAGAAAACAGTTACTTTACTCATTCTCTGCTTAGGCACTATTATCCAACAGCTATTTATACAAGTTTATTTAAGAGGTGTTTTAAAATCAGACTTCAAAAGGATCTTCAACTTTAAAGACAAATCACATCCATTAAATATCTCATTGGCGGTATATGAGTTCATGTGTCAGAGGTGCAACCAGGGGTATATTGGATCAAACGTTAGAAGGCTTCGTAGTCGAATAAAAACTACAACAACAACACAGTAAGGCTAAAACCTACAACACCGGTAGTATTACCAAACACTGTCTAAACTAATATGACGATGTGTCTATCTTCAGTTTCATCCGCAGCATCCTTCATTTCTGGGAAGTATTCCAACTTAGAATGCTAGAATCTTTTGCTATTAAGCTAAGAAAACCAGCTTTTAAACAGAAGATGAGCGCACTGCCACTAAATTTTCAATTGTGAAAACTAAAAAAAAAATAGTATAAACTTCGATCGTTGAATGTAAAACAGACTAAAAACTTAAATACAGAAGCTTTAAAATAGATTCCTATTTGCAGGATGAAAAATTTAGCTGGGAATTAGAGTATTTTTGTAAATAGTCTTCAGTATGGAGAAAGTTTGCTCCTCTTGTACAAAACAGTCCATGCTCAAAACCTAGAAGTACCTCATGAATGAATTATATGTTACAGTTCATATAGACTATAAGGTGAAAGAACGTTTAGGATTGGAAAATGTTTTGTGAATGTTATATTCTTGAGATTAACCGTAGAAAATGTTTTTTTTTCAGGAAAAATACAACTTTACTATTTACTTGAATAGATGTTTATCAGGTCTTCAGATCTGATAAAAAGCAAATTTCGTTTTCAGGAGTTTTCATCAAACTTAACACAAAAGTTGTGTTCGATGGAATGTTTCATAAATCGATTGCTACAGCAACATTGTGGAAATTATGTTGCTTTTCTTGTTTCTTTGCATATTTATTAGATAATGGCACCAAGCATTGATGAACTTGTGTAGGTAATCTGGATTGAACATTTTCATCATTGTATCAATTTTGAGGACAGAAATGTTAATATATTCTGTAAACGTGAATAGACATTCAGCCTATCTCTACCTCATGGCATATCAGATCAACAGCAAAAGCCACATAAACGTTTCAGTAAATATCCTAAACGTTTTGTATGCAACTAGGTATAAACCTATGAAGAACACTTTGGGAAAATGGGATTAAGCTTGATTTTGGGTGTCTGGACGTTTAAGTTTCAGTTGAAAATGTACGTAAAGCAACAGGATCATTTAACTGAACATAGATTCTGGCAGTGGAAGAAAGAAAAATACGCCCCCTAGGATTTTCCCAAAGCTACTCGCTAGACCTATTGATCCTTTTAATAAAATTATTCATCAATTTTTAGTTTCAATTATAAATACGGTATGGATGTTTCTAGTGCTAGAAGTACTGAAAGCAGAAAATTCAAGTAATTAATAAAATATACAAAAAACGTGTATATTTTGACATTTAAAAACCTAATCTATTAAGTTTTTTCTTCTGCATCTTTAATTATCTTGTGCTTGAAGTGATTAAAAAGATGAAATAAAATAACTTAGATGTTTCATGGTAGTCAGTGAAACTGTGACACAAAATATAATAAGAACTTTATGATGTCTTACCGTTCCGTTTAAGAGGTCTTCAAATAGTTATGTAATAATAAAATGTAGAAAACTTGCGTTAAATCCATGTATTTTAGTAAACATGTTTTATACATACCATGGAGGTGATGTTTACATGCTTTCCTGCACATAAAGGCGAAAGTGGTAACCTAGACGATTGAATGTTACTTACTGTTGCTAGATTACAGTTCAAAGCTTGTACTGTGGGCATTAATTTTCTCAACTGTCACAGTACGTGTATTTTTTTAACGCTATCTCAAATCTTAAATCGATCTCAGGCTTTGTAAAACCATTAGCGTAAATAACATCAATAAAACGACAGAAAAATTATAGGAAACCTAGAATATTGTGATGTGTTTCTAAGTACAGGTTTGTTTAGCATATCCGTAAATTCAGACTTTTCGATTAAATCCAGATATTTGGCGCCGTCTTACTTTATCACCGGATATAATTGGGTATCGACATGATTGGTGTAGACGGTACATGTCAATAACCTGAAACATATATGATTTTTTATTGTCATTTTGTTAAGGTTTTATGAAAGAAATCGTTTTGCGACTAAATTAAAAAAAAAATTGAGCTTTAAATGTTCATAAATACTTTGTTTGTTTGTAGCTATGTACAAAGCTACACAATGGGCTATCTGTGCTCTGTCCACCACGGGTATCGAAACCCGGTTTCTAGCGTTGTAAGTTCGCAGACATGCCGCTGTGCCACTGGGGGGCAAATACTTTGTTAGCCTATTGTTATACAGTGAAAAATTATTGTTATAATGTAACAATATTCTTATATGTGATGTTGAAATTAGTTTTAATAATATTTGATATGGTGTATGATGTTGAAGTTATTTTGAACATGTTTCATAAGTCGTGTTATCAATAATGCTTTAAACGAGAAAACAACATTGTGTGTTCTTTAAAAGAAACTTTCATTCATCATACAAAATTAATAACAAAACAACAACGAAAGACGATCATCTGAAAAATACAATGGAAATAGGACTGGTAACACAAGCGCTTTAGAAATCCCACTTCCCGAAATACACTAGGATTCTTGGTCTTATTTCATTAGAATTTATTCAGTTTTATCCTGCGTGTTTTCCAACATTAATATATTTTTTAAAATAAAATTAGATTAAAAACCGAATATTATGAAGTATTTTCCGCCTATTTATATACATCTCAGTTAGATATGAATCTATTACAATCTGACGTAATGATAAAAGAAAGTTTCAAAAGAGCAGTTCAAACCACTTACGATGTGTCAAACATAGAACAAGTAGAATAAATCACAATGGGAACAACTGAATGTCTCAATCATTCAGATGGCAGAAGAAACTATCCCCCAAAAAGAGAGAAAAGGCAGAAATAAGTAGATAACAAATGAAATACTTGATCTAATGGAAAGAAGACAAACACAGGCAATTATGAAAGATGTAACAAAATTAACAAAATAACATATAATTGAGTTAAAAAAAACGAGCTTTAGACTAGATAATTATAAGATAACTTTTATTTTAACCGACGTTTCGCCTTCTCGGATTCTTCAGGGCAAGTACATAAAACTGCTTGATATTACAATATTGTAACTTACCTTAGAATCATCCACAATCTGCACTGAGAACAAAGTGCTTCCATAATGGTAGGAAATGATATCGGCAGTTTTCAAGAAATAAAATGATGCGTCTGACGAGGATGTGTTTTTTACACAGACCTTTTCTCAATGTATAGTGAAATGATTCTCGTAGGTATAGAAAATTGGCCGGTAATTAAAACTGGATAACATAACATCAACATCTTGGGGTACGCAGATTACACGATGCTAATGGCTTAAAAATGAGAAAGATATTCAAGAAACCGTAAATGTTGAAATGTTGATGAAAGTAAGAAGAAAGAATTGATTTTCGATAACAAGAAAGCAGAATGTGTGGTAACCTCAAAGAAAAGTAAATATTTAAAGTTAAAAAACGTATAGGTATACATGTTTAAAACGTATAGGTATACATATTTAAAACGTATAGGTATACATGTTTTGTATTAGTTAAATTATAACAGATAGTTAAGCCCCCAAGTGGCACAGCGGTATGTCCGCAGACTTACAACGCTAGAAACCAGGTTTCGATACCCGTGGTGGGCAGAGCACAGATAGCCCATTGTGTAGCTTTGCGCTTAACTTCAAACAAACAGATAGTTAAATGTTTAGTGTGTGTGTTTTCTTATAGCAAAGCCACATCGAGCTATCTGCTGTGTCCACTGACGGGAATCGAACGCCTAATTTTAGCGTTGTAAATCTGAAGACTTGCCGCTGTTCAACAGGGGGACCGTTAAATGTTTAATTATTCATTCAGAAATTTTACTAAACTACAGTATCGTGATAATCTCCTCTCTAAAATGCTTAATTGTCGTACATTTACTTCGTTGAAAACTTCAAAATCTTAATGAATTCCAAACACAAAAGAAAATGGGATAAATAGAATCAAGAACATAATGTTCATTCAATCCTTATGAATTGCTATCAGGAGACTGTTTCTTAGCTTATCCCAAAAAGTTATAAATTGATATGTGGGTGATATTAGCCAATCACATGTACATCAATATCGGCTAACATTCTTTTTATTAAACCTACTATACCCTAGTCAATTTATCCTTTTCATTCTTTTTATTAAACCTACTATATCCCAGAAACTTCTGAACTCTATCAAGCCGTAGTGCGTCATTTGTATACGTAACAATTGCATCGATTTACAAGCTTAAAACTGGTGCGAACGTTTGGAAAGTTTACCAGTGGCTCAGTTAGTCAAGTCAGGTTTGGGCCGATAGAAAGCAGTTTAATAACGTTTTTCAAACATTTTCTGGAGCCAGAGCTTCTCAACTAGCAGCCTGGTCACCTGTGCCCAGAACCCTAACTGCCGAATATGCGTTAAACAAGGTTATATGTCTTTCGAGCATCGAGATTCTTCCGAATTCTAACAATCAGGTATGTCTTAAGATTTTACGTTTTGATTTTTATAATACAGTTCTTTAAGGGATTTACATTTCTGAAATAAGAAATAGGATCTTGACAAATGTTAGATTTTTATACCAGTTCACTAAAATAATGTTTTATAAAATAAAAATTTATTTTCTAATCCATAGCTATAATTGTTGTTTAATAATTTTGTTTCTTTACTTTATAAATGTTAAAACCTGTAATTTTGCTAAATTGTATACATTATATTGTAAGTACTTCAAAATTAAATTGATATTTATAGAAATGACTATAATTCCTTATTAAGTTAAAATAATACGAAAACTTTATTGATGCATTTAGATTTTGATATTTTTTGACACTTGGGAACAACAATTTGTGAATATCTTTAATATTACTTCAAACCTGGGTTAGTACGAAATAAAATGTATTGAAAACCTATTATCACCAAAAACGTAATTCTGATTTACACTGTTTATCACCTTTCTCACTTAGCGTGTGTGAAACAAGGTGAGGAACAGTGAAGTAGGAACAGGGTGGGCCCCAGTTCTCCAGTAATGTTTGAGGGGGGCCACCGTATCTTTTGGTCTCTGTAATATTTCAAAACCTTCCCGACATTTTTGTGCTTCAGAGAGAGCGGTTTCCCAGTAAGTGAGCGGTAAGTGTACAGACTTACAAGGTTAAAATCCGGGGTTACATTCTCTATGGTGGACAAAGTGCCGACTTACGCTAAAACAAACAAATAAAAACAACGAGAAAGGACAGTATTATGGTGCATCAAGAGTTATGTAAAAAACAAAATACCTATATGTAGGGGAAGCAATACTGCTTGCCTGCTGTCAGTCTGCACATGTATGTTGTGGCATAGCGAGATACATCACTCCGCCCCGACCCCCCTCCACCCCAATGTAAGTAAATTCTACGGTATACTTTTCCAGGTTTATAAATCATTGATATTTACCTAAATAAACTCCTTCGTTGGACACACACCACTTTCATTATACAGAATTTAAATTCTATCGATGGCTTATAATAAGTTAATAGATATAAATTTGTTATGTAGCATATAACTATAGCGCTCAACATTACAGTTGACTGCCTCCAAATGTTACAGTGGTATGTCTGTGGACCGCGTTTCGATACCCGTGGTGGATAGAGCATACATAGCCCATTGTGTAGCTTTGAGCTTAACTTCAAACAAACAAACAATACAGTTGATCTGATATCTCTGTCTATAGTCAACTACCTTATGTTATTTAAAGTATTTGTATTTACAGTAAAACTATTTGGATTATCTGCCGCCGTCTCTAATTTTGAACCATCCACGTAAGTTGACTGTCACTCTTATAACGCACTCACAGCTGAAAGTACGTGGGATATTTGGTGATAAACCACAGCTTCGAACCCAGCTAGCCGGAACTCTACCATAGAGCTAGTTATATCTACATCTCTCTCTCTCTCTCTCTCTATATATATATATATGTGTGTGTGTGTGTGTGAGTGTAAATAGTACATAAGGATATTACATATCAAGGACGGAAGGGTCGGGAGTGGCCTACTGGTCGTTTGCGTCCCGTTGATGCAGAAAACACACTCCGTACTTTTAAGGCCGTGGGTGCATTAAAAGAGTGACATCCAAATCCTACTGTTAGTTCAGAGTAGATCAAGGGTTAGCGGTAAGTGATATTGACCGGATGTATTCCCCTAGTCTTTCAATTCAAATTATGGACAGTTAGCGCAGATAGTCCTCGTATATTTTTTCTCCAAATATCCGAAACAAACAAATAAACAAAATTTCTAGGGACAGTATTTGTATTTCCGGTGTTATTCACCAAATGAACAACAATGTTTAAATTACAGTATATTCATTCAATGAATACAGTAACTTTATTGAAAATATACCAATAGTTACAATATAGGATACACAAGTATCCAGAAATCCAAAGTGACCATGGTTCAGCTCTGATTGAATTAGCTTATCTGAAAGAGTCATCTCTGGCAAAAAAAAAGATCCTACGAGTATGAGCCCCACTTCCAGTATTGTACAGTATCCGAATTTGTGTTACATGCTTTTAATTTGTCGACGATTATGACGGATTCTCTCCCGCTACGTATGCCTGTTTGCGCGCATTAACAATATCTCTGATATAAC